CGGGCGTGCGATCCCTCCCTCCCTCTCCCTAATCCTCCGTCTCCCTCCCTTTCCCTCCTTCTCCCTCCCTCTCCCTTCCTCCCTCTCCTTAGCAGGAAGGAGCCTTTACTGTGTCTATCCAGAGCTTTCTGAACAGCTGGCTTCCCTGAGAACTCAACAATATTTTTTTCCTGAGGGCCTTAGTCATCCACAGTGACTCTAGTCCTCTCCCTTGGCCACACAAAAAGACTTATTCCAAGAGTTCACTGCATTAAGGAAGGTTTTACACATGAGGAATGCACTGTGGCATGCAACACACACACACAGCTCCTTTCCCCAGAATGGCATGTTGTCCAGCTCTTGTTTGGCAGTCTCCAAGAGGGTTTATGTTTCTAAGCATATAATCTTTGTTCATGAAAGCATCAACCAGCTTTTCTGTGTTTGTTAGTTTCATCCTTTCCTCCTCAGTGATATCAAGAGATTGGTCACAGAGATGGTTGTATAGAGTAAAGGTCTTCTCTCCTGGTTTTCTAAAATTCTTCATGTCAGTAGTTAGATCTTGATTTTAACTGCTGACCTATTACCCATGTGCAGTTTTGGCAGTGACAGTGCTGCTGCTGCTGCTGATAATATTTTCTTAGAGTATAGTTCTACTTCTTCAAGCTAAAGGTTTGATAACTCTGCATTTTGTACCCCTCTGCCCACATGTCTTTCCACAGAGTAAAGGTGGCCTGTAGTGCATTTCATGTATTTTTTTAAATGAAATAAAACAACATGGCTTCTCAGGCTCCTCCTGATGTGGTTCCTGATTTTCTCATTACCTTGACTCTTTCCATGATTGTTGGGTAGCAGTATTGAACATTTTAAAATCCTTAAATTATCCATTTTTTGTTCTCTCTGGATTACTACTACTTTCTGTGTTTTGTCCTTGCAGTGTTCCATTCTATAATATTAGGAATCCTTATTAATTCTTTATAGCATTTATTATAATATAGAACTTGGCATTCTTTATTCTATTTACTTGTTGTATTATCTTTAAATTTCTATTGGGTTAGGGCTACATGTATATCCTGCTCACATCTAATACACACTTAGCATAGTGGATGCTTTAATGTTTGTTGGCTTAGTGGAGAATCCAAACAATTTTCCAGTATCTATTTCTTTTTATTTTAAATGGTGTGCCTATAAGGCTGGAGAGATGGCTCAGCAGTTAAGAACACTAGCTGTTCTTGCAGAAGACCCGGGTTCGAATCCCAGAACCCACATGGCAGCTAACAACTGTCTGTGACTCCAATTCCAGGGGCTCCAACAGCCTCTTCTGTCCTCTGCGGGCATTGCACAACACAGGTGCACTTACCTACATGAAGCAATACATACATACACATAAAAAAAATGGTTTGCCTATAACTTGGAAAACTATTTAATGAGGTAGCTTTTTGTTCCTTCTATGCTTCCTGTCAAAAACAATAAAAAGGAAAAACAGATATAGGACAGTAAGTTGAAACTGGCAGTGAATATTACATATATTCTGGGTGTGGATGTGTGTGTATAAAATGTAAGTACTGGTCATAAGCAGTTGTTTGAGGTGGAAAAAAGTCTTTGAAAAAATGCAGAGAGTGATAGTTGTCCCCTGTTTATCTTCTTGCCTTTTCTATAAGCAACAAAATACCTAAATGTTTCTCTTGGCAAATGACAGTCTAAATGAAGACTAGATTTACTAGATGGTCTTGCAGCTCAGTGTGGTTCAGTGATTATGTTTAGTACAATTTGATGTCAATGAGTGTGATGTTTGCAGCGTATGTGGAGTTAATGGGTAGGGATAAAGAAGCCATCTTAGATTGCGAAGTGCTGAGGAACCTGAGCCTCTGGTGTGGCATGGAGTACCAAACACTCTGGAGCACTGCCGTGGGGTTTTGCTCAACAGCAATAAACCTATACTTTTTTTTAACCTATTGCTATTTTGGATTTCAGCCATTTGCGGCTAAACCTGTACTACCAACATTTTTTTTGACAAGTGGATCATGCACCATGCTGGGAGTTCTTTTTCTGCTTTACTATTGGGATATCTTTCCTCTCAGGCAAATGAGAATCACTAGGTTATTATGAATTGCAAAGATACCCAAACAAACTTCTTAACTGTCTTTAGCTCTTACACTTTTGTTGTATTTGGGAATGTATACTTAAAGAGTAAAGAGAAAGCACATGGAGTTTACAAAGAACTTTAAAGAATTTACAAGCGGGCTGGAGAATTGGCTCAGTGGTTATGAGCACTGGTTGCTCTTGCAGAGGACCCAGACCTGGTTCCCAGCACCTATATGGCAGCTAACAACAGTCCATAACTCTACTTCCAGGGTAATCCAATGCTCTCTCCTGACCTCTGCGGGCATTGCATGACAGGGGTGTGCTTACAGGCAATACACTCATACACATAAAATAAAAATAATAAAATAAAAACAATTTACAAACAAGATATGAGCCCCTTCAATCGCTTAAAAACTCACTTGGGCCCAGAGATGATTGAGATAGTTTACACAATTTAAAAGCACACCAGTGATCTGTTAACTCACTAATGCGTGGACTTCAAAAACTCAGCTTTGGAGCTGGGCGTGGTGGTGCACGCCTTTAATCCTAGCACTCGGGAGGCAGAGGCTACATAGTGAGTTCCAGGCCAGCTGGGGCTACTGGGAGACCCTGTTTCAAAACAGACCAAAAAAACCAACCAACCAACCAAACAAACAAACAAAAAAAACAAACCTCAGCTTTGTCCCTTCTCTCAAAATTAGATGATAAACACATCTTCTTAGGAATAAAACCCCAAACCTCTTGCAGTGATCTTAAATCTAATTCTTGAGTAACTTTTATAAATCTTAGCAACATTGAAGATATTTTGGCAAGTGAAGAGTCTTTTTTGTTTGTTTCTTGAGACACAGTCTCCCTGTAGCCCCAGCTGGCCTGGAACTCACTGTGTAGACCATGCTGGTCTTGAACTCTCAGAGACCCACCTGCCTCTTCCTCCCAAGTGCTGGGATTAAGTGCATGCAGCACCACATCTGGTGTGAAGAGTACTTAAAAAAATTTTTTTTATTTACTATTTTTATTTTGTGTAGGAGTGTTTTGCCTGCGTGTACATGAGTGCACCCATGTCATGCAATGCCACGGAGATCAGAAGAGGGCTTAGGATTCCCCTGGAACTGGGGTTAAGGACAGTTCGTGGCCGCCATATGGGTGCTGGGAATCGAACCCAGGTCCTCTGCAGGAGCAGTCAGTGCTCTTAACTGCTGAGCCATCTCTCCAGCCCTGTGAAGAGTACTTTTAAAATGTATTTTAGGGGCTGGAGAGATGGTTCAGTGGGTGGGAGCATTGACTGCTCTTGCAGAGGACCTGGGTTCGATTCCCAGCACCCACATGGCGGCTATGAACCGTCCTTAACTCCAGTTCCAGGGGAATCCGAAGCCCTCTTCTGACCTCTGTGGCATTGCTTGACACGGGTGCCCTCACGTACACGCAGGCAATACATTCGTACACATGGAATAAAAATAATAAATAAAATATTTAAAAAATGTATTTTAATATAAATCTAGGAAATAATTGCTGCAAAGATGATTATCAAGGTATATTTTCTTAACACTTTGATAATATACTGCTTTTTAAAAGGTATTGTAGTATTACCTAGAACAAACAGGTCATAGAAAAAACATACATCTAACTTAAAATCTCCATGTGTTTTTAGATTTCCAGAAAATCTAGTTTCATATCCAGAATTCTTTGTATATTTAACTTAATTTGAGTTTCTTTATAGTATGCTATTAATAATAATATATACTATTTTAAAACGTCCTTTTATGCTTTTATTTTTTCCCCTTTTTAAGTGACTATATGAATACATAGTGTTCTAGTTAGCTTTCTGTGGCTGTGATAAAACACTAAAAGCAACTTTGGGGAGGAAATGGTTTATATAATATCCTAATGACAGTTCATCATCCAGAGAAGTCAAGGCAGGAACCTGGAGGCAGGAGCTGAAGCAGAGACCAGGGGAGGAGCGCTGGCTTGCTCAGTTACCTTCCTTATGCAGCCCAGGCCTACCTGCCCAGATACGGTATCGTCCACGGTGGATTGAGCTCTCCTCCTCAATTATCAATTAAGAAAATTCCTCATAGACTTGGCCACATGCCTGATTATTCAACTGAGGTTCCCTCTGTCCAGTTGTCTCTAGTTTGTGTCAAGTTTACAAAAACTAGCCAGCATACATATTTATACACATGAATGAATGCATGTAGGCAGTTGTGAGTAGGTATAATGGCAGGAACATATTAGGATTATATTTTGATTATATGATTTTGATTTTGATTCTGTGGAGAACAGTTTGTTAATAATTATCAAAATTATAGAAACGAATGTTTAAGCAGTTGAATCACAAGTTCAAGGCATGTCTCGGCTGTAGAATGAGTTCTAGGCCAGGCTAGGTAATTTGGTGAGACCCTGTTCCAAATTAAAAAACAAAAAGGCCAGGGGATATAAATTGTAGATGGTGTGTCCAGCATGCGCAAGGACATTTTCAGCCCCCTCTCCCCCTAAAAAGAGCTTGATTAAATTTTTTTTAATCAACACCATTTTCATATATTTTTAGGTAAAATTTAATGATTAATTGATTAATATAACTTGTTGGCTATAGTTCTTAGTTTTAAAAATTAA